GGCAGAGGCAGGCGGATCTCCATAAGCTTGAGGCCAGCCTGGTCTACAGAGTGAGTTCCAGGACAGGCGCCAAAAATTACAGAGATACTTTGTCTCTAAAAATCAAAACCGAAACCAGCAAAAAATCCAAACCAACCAACCAAAAATATCCACATCTGTGTTCTTTTTTTTTTAAATTTTTTATGATTTATTTATCTTTTTATTTTTATGTGCATTGGTGTGAAGGTGTCAGATCCCCTGGAACTGGATTTTCAGACAGTTGTGAGCTGCCATGTGGGTGCTGGGAATTGAACCCGGGTCCTCTGGAAGAGCAGTCAGTGCTCTTAACCTCTGAGCCATTTCTCCAGCCCCACATCTGTGTTCTTTACATGAAACCAACACCTAAGTGACTTCCAAAATTCGCATACAGCATGTGTGACGGCTGTGGTTGGTACTAGCTGTCACCTCAACAGGATCTGGGGTCATCTGCAAAGTGGGTCCTGCGCTTACATTTGAGGGATTATCTTGATTGGTGTGGGGAGACTATCCTAGCTGTGGGCAGGAACGTTCTCTGGATGGGAATCCTGGACTGCAGGAAACCAGAGAGTGAGCTGAGCAACACCGGGCGCACACCGAGCGCCAGCATTCATTCTCTGCTCTGGCTGCAGGTGGAATGTCACTGCTTCCTGGTTTCCCTGCCACTGTGGGGTATGCACACTGAATTGTGAATGAAAACCCTGCCTTCCTAAGTGCCTTCTGCCAGCTCATTTTATCACAGACAGGAAAAGAAATTAAGACTTATTGGATTTCAAGGGGAAAAAAATGTTAGTCCGACTTAAAAAAAAAATCTAATTGTGATTTTACTAGCTATGGTCGTCTAGTTCACGTTCAGTGCAGGCTGTCCTGCAGGAACCACTTCAGAGTTCTCCCTTTGCTGGACAGCGGTCACAAGTTCAGAGGGGATAACTCAAACATGCTGACGCAGGGATCACTTTCCTCTAACACGTGCACACACGCAGGTGGGCACAATGGCTAGGCTGTAATCCCGGTACTCAGGAAGCAGAGGCAGGAGATCCCGAGTTGCAGGCCAGCTGGACTACCTAGTTGAGTGCTGCCTCTAAATAAATAAGCAAACAAATATAGAGGTGGAATCACGTTTGAGATGAACAGAGAGCAAAGAAAATATGATGTCAATGGATGAGGAAAAAGCTAACAATCTACTTCCTTTCCTGCTTCTATACCATTTCTGTGAAAAGCAGAGCAGCAAATAAATGCTGGCAAAACATGATCCAGTGGGTGAAGGATGACAAGGTTAGTGTATGTACAAGAATTGGACACAGCTTCTTTCCCCAGAGAGCTAAGACTCCGAATAAAGTACCCAATGACTAAAGTATCAGGATCTTTACAGGAGATAAAGGGCACAGAGGTGGCCAGAGAAGTCGCTGTGCCCCAAAGGGGATGGGCTTCTCAGGCTGTAGACCCGTGAACTTGACAGGCTCCTGGGCCACAGTCTGGGATGGAGCACCGCAGTAGAGGGTATGAATTGGAATAGCAAGTGGGAATTTTCAGGACCCAGCCCGGGCTCACCAGGAACAATTTCTGTCAGATTAACCTGACCTTGTTTCAGAGTTAAAAAAAACAACCAAACAAAAAACATAAATGGGAAAATTAGGGAAACATATTGGACACAACCTTTAAAAAGGAATACATAATAAAATCCCCATGGCGTTTCTGAGGTTAGGATAGCAAAATCAATACAAATGGATTTTAGTTCACTTGTTTAGAATCTCAAATATCTGTTTGGTCACGGGTACCATCCTAGGCACTGAGGATAAAAAACAGCAAAGGATAAAGACATGGTCTTGCTTCTCAGGGGAGAAAGTCACTACTCCAAAGCTGAAATAAGCAAGGTATTGACAAGCTTTTATAACAATAAAACGAAGAAAACGAAGGCAGGGCAGAGCTGATAATGGCAGAGCAGCTCCTTCAGTGGGCAGGGTCAGACTGCTACAGCATGTGAGGGATGAATGACACTACCTCGCCCTGAGAAAGAGTGGGGGAGACGACAGTTTCAGGAGGGGACAGGAGAGGACAGGAGGGGCATCTTCCTGAGGTAGAGAAGTCACTGGAGTGTTGTCCCGCTGGGAAGACGACTGGGGTAACAGGACAGCAGCAAAGGGGAGGAGATCAGGGTCAGACAAAGTTAGAGAGGTTGACAGGGACTCTCCAAATCACAACATGGAGAATACGAGTGAAGGCTGTCATGGCTTGCCCTTTTGACACATATGTTGATGGTTTGGATTCTACTTTTATTTGCTATTTTTTTTTTTTAAAAAATCTATTTTGTCGGACTGGAGAAATGCCTCAGGGGTTAAGTGTACTGGATGCTCCTCCAGAGGTCCTGAGTTCAATTCCCAGCAACCACATGGTGTCTCACAGCCATCTGTAATGAGATCTGGTGTCCTCTCCTGGTGTGCAGGTAAAACAGTATATACATAATAAGTAAATCTTTAAAAAAAATGTACTGTCATCTTGGAATACAACTGACGAGGACAAGCCAGCGGTGGTGTCTTTAATCCCAGCACTCAGGAGGCAGAGGCAGGTGGATCTCTGTGAGTTAGAGGCCAACCTGGTCTACCCAACAAGGGCCACGATAGCCAGGACTGCTTCACAGAGAATTCTTGTCTCAATCACCGCCCCCAAAAAGAAGAGGACAAAGGAAAGTCTTTTTAAAGACTAAATTTGAATTAAAAAATGAGAACTCCAAGAGTATAACAAACTAGAGCTAGGCCTCTGGCCTAGACTCATGTTTGAAGCCTGTCTCTGGCACTCCCGCAGTGACCTCGACAAGGTACTCAGCTACTCTAAAGTAGGAATGAAAGGCAAGGGGAGCATTAGACACACGCAACTCAGACACACCCTCTGTGTCCCACGGAATCTGCCGCTAGGTCAGGTTAATCGTGGCCTGCTGTGCCAGAAACCATTCCTGAGCTTCCCTGCCTGGTTTATCCTTGCACGCTGCCCAGCTTCTAAAAGAACTGGTTATAGATCAAACATAGGTCCTCATTCTTATTCTGATATTACCAGTAAGTGATGTTCTCAGATTATCTGATTTTTCAAAAGATTGAGAAGCTTAGAACAGTCAAACTCTAGGAAATAATTTGAGACTTTTAGATCTTTTATCAGCAAAGAAATTGCTAAAAGCTGAGGTGGTACTTCAAAGGTATGATTTATAAATTGTCAATGTTAGAATTACTAAACTAAATATTTCTTTACTCTTTCAGAGGGATTAAAATTCAATACTGGCTCAATTACACATAAGGGCACAAAATATTTGTAAGACAATAAAACTTTAAAAGTATCACAGTTCAGCTGTTTAAAAATGACTTTAAAACATTAAAAAAATGTTTTAAGAGAACCAGAAATGAAATAATGTATCCTGTAAAAGAGAGTCAGGATAAAAGTTCCGTTTAAGTGAATAACTGCATCCATTTCACAAAGAGGGAAAAAAATACAAAACCATTCAACATAATGACAAATTTACATCGTTAAATGACAAAAAGAGATTGCCTGGTAACTGCACAACCAAGCTCGGCTTCCTGCACCAGGCCTACGCACAGCTCCCAGGAATTCTGCTCCAGAAGTGCAACCTGGCACAGGCTCCTGCGGCAGGTGGGGACCTAGGCACACCTACGCCACTGGGAAGTTCCTACGTCAGTTCCACAGGGGAAAAGGGTCAGCTCTACCCCACCAAGACGTAGTCCTGTCCCGAGTAATGCGAGACCTCCACTGAAAGAAGAAAAGCAACTGAACAAAAAGAGACGGTCAACCAACAAACTACTCCAGACCCGAAAATCCAAGCCCAGAAACAAAAGCAACACTAAAAAACAAGACTTGATGCTTTCAAAAGTGACTAATCCCATCATAAGGACATCATCTTGACTCCACTCACGACAGTTTTGCTTTCCCTTGTTACAAGTCTTCCATTTGTAATTACGTCTTACCTCATGCATTTCAATTTCCGTTGTATTTATCCATTGGCCTGTGTACCACTCAACTCTCAAGTGAGGTGACGCCCCTCATCTTTGCAAATGATGCTTATTATAAAGGCCCCACCAGAACTAGACAGCACAGTCATTGAATGGTTTGCCCATGACTTAACAGTGACATAAGAAAACCTAAGACTTGGGGCTGGAGAGATGGTTCAGTGGTTGAGCACTGGCTGCTCTCCCAGAGCTGAGTTCAATTCCCAGCATCCACATGGTGGCTCATTGCTATCTGTAAGCCCAATCCTGGGGACTCCAATGCTCCTCTGGTACACACATGGTACACAGACATCGAAGCGCACACTTGGAGTGCTCTGCACACGGACTCAGGATCCGATTGTCCCCTCTCCTATCCACTGTGTCATGCACAGTTTATTACATTCAGCCTTTGTCACTAAAACACCAGGAGCAGTGGAAGGGAGTGCAGCACGTGGCTGTTGTGAGTATCCCTGAAAGACTGTAAAACAGGAAGGGTACAGCAGTTCAGAACTGTTCAGGTTTTTGTTTTTGCTTTCTTTTTAACTTCTTTGAGACTAGGTCACATTATGTACTCCTGGCTGGCCTAGAACTCTCTATGTAGACCAGGCTGGCCTCTGCTTCCCAAGTGCTACCATGCCTGATTTGTTTAGAATTACAAAGCTTGTGGAAAAATAGATACACAAGCAAACCTGACATGGAGAGTTAAAATTCAATGCAAGGCTTGACTACGCTTTTTGAAAACAAGGTCTCTATTGAACGAATATGGTTTTTTTAAAAAACCAAACTGATACTGTATATCAAGAAACTAAAACGTTTCTGTAATTACTTCCCTCAGAGGAATACTTCATCCATGGAAAACCCTGTTTCCTAAACTATATTCAAGTATCTAATTGTGCACTCAGTCCCCCATTGGGGTCATAGGAATCTCAGAATTGTACATATCCAAGGCAAGATTTGATCCACTGTCCAATGTGTTCCTGTTTTTCTAAAATCTCGGCCAACGGTGTCATCGTCCTCGTTCCTATCAAAGCCTGAGTCATTTCCTCTCCCAACACCAAATTGTTTTGTCACCAAAATACACCCTGACTTCCAGCCACAATCACCAAGCCTCCCAGGGTTCCTCAGTCAAACCTAATAAAATCCTCATCTTCCCACTGCCAGTTCTCCATCCACCAAAGCAATGGAAAGCAGACCATGCCAACTCCCCTGCCCAGGATCCCTCATGTCCAGAGAAAATCTAAATTCCTTAAGCGTATAGCCCTAAATAGTCAGGATTTTGCCAACTTCAGTGTCTTACATTTTCCCAGCCAATTTGTGGATGTTTTCTCTGCATGTGAATTCACTCCTGCTTTGGGAAAATAGGTTTTATTTTCTCTTCATCTAGGATGCTTTGGTATTTTTTATCCCATCATTCAAGGTTATTATTCCTCAGTGATCCTATAAACACCAGACTCTCCTCTCAGTTCTGCCTCAGCCTGCTTGGTTTCTGAGACTCTATCTCTTCTCTGTCTTCCCTGCTAACAAGCAGGAAGCTCCAGAAGACAGTAGTTTACCTTGTATTTTGATATCTACCCATTATGACGACTGGTACACGAGCCATCGGTGAACACTGATGAAAGAATGGCTGAGGTATTTAGTCAAGATTCTCAGGCCTGAAAACACCTGCCTCAACGGACGCAAGCCTTGGTAAGGCAGACGCTATGCTGCCTGCAATCCACCCATCACCTCCCACAGAAATCTCACTCCGGACTCCTTGGAGCACTCTCCATTCTCTTCCATGGCTGCTCTTACAGTAGGAGAAAACCCCACCCTCTCATATTGGCGATATCCCCGTCCCTCTCCCCATTCCCAGTTCTCTCTGGTACCTAACATTCTCCCTTCTCTGGATCAAGTCAGCCTGTGTGCACATTTTCACTGTTTGACGTAATCCAAAGACACACACTGGAGTATGGTGTACGTGAACAAGCCTGTGTGACTGGTCTTAGGTGAACACTCTCAGAGCCGCATCTGCTCTGGTTCTGACTCACTCAAAGGCCAGGACTCTCCCAAAAGTTTTTTTTTGTTGTTGTTGTTTTGCTATTTTCTATAAATAGGATTTAGGGCCAGCCTTAATAAAAAACATCACCAGGCTAGTGACAGTGCCAGGAAGCAAAGCAGTTTTAAGAGGAGAATAGCAACCATAACAAAATGTTAAAAAAAATTATAAACCTTGAATTTGGCCAAACTGAAGCTTAAAATTCAAGTACATTTTTTATCCAGCTACTGTCAGCCATCAAAATGTCTAATGATGTAAGAATAGATGGGTTTGTAGAGGATGATTTGGGCTCAATATTTTATCTAAGACTATAAATTTAGTTTTGACTTACAGTTGTATTTAAAGCAACTATTTCTTTAATTTTTTTTTTTTTTTTTTTACTGTTTCAAGCCAGAAAATAAAATACTAACAAATTCTCTCTCTGGGAAGTGATTGTATTATAGAAAAGACAACGGTGCCATGGCCAAACTTTATGGAAAATAACAAAATCTGAATGGTACAATACTCAGGATCTACAGAATAAACGATCTTAAATTAGATGGCAATATCATTGTTTAAAATATCACCACTGTAAGTGTTGAAACATGCATCTGTATAAATGCATATTATAGTGCATGTAAGTATGTATACTGTATACACAGAGAGAGGGGAGGAAGGGTGGAAGGGAAGGGAGAAGGGAATGAAGAATGAGGACATGAACTGAAGCATCCCCCTTAATGTAATTATATCCACTCCCTTCATGTAAAAATGTACACCTTCTGAAGCATTTCTTGATTTGGAATAAAATGTGCCATCCCCACAACATAAAAACATGAACGTCGTCAAAAGGCTACAATGGGATTCAGAAAATAAACAGTGAAGAAAGACTTTGGTGTACTTTCATGCTGGTGATTTTTTTTTAAATGTAAGTTACTAATATTTTAACAAAAAATTTAACCCCAAAGTTGCATATTTATATTGTACATAAACTGAAACGTGCCTTTTAGCACAGTGTAACACATGCTTACACAAACTCAAGTCATACACTTAAAACATTTTGCATAATAACACAGAAGTTCTGAAATACATAAAAGCATTAATATTTTCTATAAAACTCTCGTGAGAACATCAGTTTGCTCCACGCATAGAAAAACCGTCAAGTCTTTCTCCGAGTTCCGTGCTCTTCACGGCGTCACTCGCTCACAGTTCTCTCCAACACTCAGCATGGACTGCTCTTTCCTCAAGAGGTTTACTTTCCAGGTACAGTGTAAGCTCAAGAAAACAGACCCAACAATTATGCAATACGATTATGTCATGACAACTAAATTGCACATTATGCTTTGAAAGTAGGTTTGGATGAAGTTCTCAAACACTTTGGTATATGTTCCTCAGGGATTTCTACTACAAGTAACAGAAAAATCTAAGTTCCTTCAATCCCCGTTTTGCATTAAAATGGACAAGTCTTTGGTTAGAGGTCCACATTTTGGGCATTTATCATCAATTAAAATGGTCCCTAAACCGCTAAATGGTGCTGTGTCCCGGTTCACAGACTTCATGTAACCTGTTTCTGATGCAGCTGGATGCACTAATGTTCCTCTGCTAATGCTACCACCAGCTCCAGTCTTTTACTAGCAACAGAGAAATCGCCAGGGTTTCTCACTCCTGGGTTTTCTGTCGTAAACTGTACACCAATTTGCAGTTAACTACAGACACTTCCACAGAATGGATTAAGGTTAGAGCGCTAGAGAGCATTCACTTTAGATTTAGCTTATTCTGACAGGTCAATATTAGGTTGTAGATGAGTCTGCATTAACTACAGCAAGTTGCCAGGTAATGCTTATTTTAAAACCCCAAACCATTTCATGTACAAGAGAAACTGTGGCAAATGTATAAAGCAGCAGATATACAAGGCGAACACCAAACATACTTTATTAGCACAAGAAAGCAGCCAGAACAAGGCACAGCAAGCAGAGACAGACGCTAGCAGTCAAAGGGTCAGTGCTGCATACAAACATAGCGTTTCTTTTCAGTAGCCCTGGTGATAGCCAGAGGGGTATAAAATAGCCTTTGCAGCAGCTGGCGTGGACCCCAGGAGTGCTCACCAGCGGGTACAGAGCAGTCACAGACAACAAGAATGGACTTGGTTACTGTAGTGCAAATGTCTAGGACAGAGCCGAGAACTCAGTCCAACACTGAGAAGCAACACTAGAATCTGACAATACTTCCCAAAGCGTTCACTCAAATTGTGTTACATACTATTCTAAGTGACAAAAGGTGCCAAGTGACGTTATTTACAGACATCATGGTTGTACAGTACCTTTTAAATCTGCAATTTAGGTTTTCTGTGAAGAATTAACTGCACTAAAATGCTATAAATTGTACTTAAGTAATTCAGCTATGAGCATACAACAAAGAGATAAATACTGCCGTCCAAATGATTAATTATAGTTTAACATAACTTGACATCAGCAACCAGTGGAGTCACTATTATCTGATATATTTGGGCATCTTCTAGTCTCATTTCCCTCCAGGTTCACAAACTCAAGGGCACAGGAAAAGATCCAATTTTGATGAAACAATGTGTGGACTGCTCATGTCAACTTAGAAAAAAAAAAAACCCTTGAAACTCCAACTGTGTGCCTGTTTGGAGTTACAGCACTCACCACAATGAATACTGAGGGTTTGAAACAAGACTCTACACTAACCTTTAGGTCTGAAGTTTTAAGAACATCTTAGAGACCTTGGTTTACTTGTGAGTCTCTTTCTCTGAGGAGAACAGGAGACTAGCCATAAACCACATTGACACTGCACAATGCCCTATGACCAGAAAAACCGCATTTTTTTTTTTTCTCGAAAAGGCAGGCAGTCTTTTCTTTACTTATTTGTTTTGGACTTTCAAAGCTTGATTTATAGTTAACTACAAACATCACTACTTTTGGAAGGTTATAGAAAAATTCTTAGAAAAAATAATTTCAAACATTAGTCACACTGTTGAAATACCCATCCAATATTAATAATTTGTTCTTCAGTAAGAAATAGAACTCTTCATAGCAAATGCCCCAGAGCCATTTAAATGCCTCACTCGGTCGTCAGAGCCATTTAAAACCAAACTGCTTGTTAACTAGCTGTGTTTCCCAGCCCGGACTCCTGCAAACCATCTGCTGTTTCTAGGCACCTTTGTCTGTGTAACAGAAGACCCCATTGGATAGAGGCTAACGACTAAGCTCACATTCTGGGTGAAAACTCCTAGCAGCTGACTCTGTGCTTCCTATGGCTGTACTGTCTGATGCACACGAGAACAGACCTAGGTAATGCCCTTTGGGGACAGGGGTTACTTTGCCTTGACTGGTTCTCGCTCTAACCAGCGAACCCTAACTTTCTGTTTATAATGATACTCTTTTAAAAAATCCTGTAACACTGACGGCAGAGGGAGCCCACCGATCCCATCATAGGTAGTGCACCTGCAGATCACCGCCCGGCAGATATACTGCAGGCTGAAAGGAAAAGTCCTATTCAGTGATATCGTAAGCAATGGTTCAAAAAACATGCAAGAGCTGGGGTCTTTATAGTGTTCTAGAAGCCCAGTGACAGTGGAGGAGTGGAACACACAGGGGTCGTGGGCATCGAAGCTAAAGTTGTGGTTCCACTGTTCGATTCGGGCGTGCAGAGATCTGTTGTAGCGGCGGAAGCTCACGGAGAAGAGGTAGTCCTCCTGCGCAGAGTCCCTGAGCAAAAACGTGCCTTCAGGTTTCCCTTCCAGAAGGGCTTCTGCTTCGTACCGGTCCATCACACCCCAGTAACAGGGATTCCCTGTGATCTGAAGCAAATCTGGCACAAGGCAGTGTATGTAATCGATCTGCGTATGAACTTTCCAAGCTCCCTGTCTGCTAACGTGTGAGTGGCTGTCCCCAGACACCTGACGCTGCTTCTGCCTCCGTGATTGCAGACACAGGGTGGTTGAATCCTCTTCTGAGTCACAATTCGTTTGTGGAACTGCAGAACCATCTCCACTTACTTCCGTCATCCCAGGGGCTAACTTTGGTCCCAGTTTATACAATGGATTGACCTGTGCAGTAGCTTCAAATGTGTGTATTTGTGCATTGGGAGGGGGGTCCACCCCTTCTTCGATACTAAGCCGTCTTCTCTCTCGGAGCCTATCCTCTTCATCTTCTGTAGACACCAGTGAAGGATCAAATGTATCAAAAAATGTTGAATGTGGGCTCACAGGAGCTGTATGCTGTTTAATCAAATGCCACTTTTGTGCTAAATCTGAGCCAGCAGGAAAAGGGCATTTTTCCAGCATTAATTCAGAAAGATGAATTTTTCTCTTATTGGAAAACAGAGGCTTTGACTGCTTGCTGTAAGTTCTCATGGGGAAACACAAACCCACAGTGTCCTGGAGCCTCTGCCTCAGAGAGCGGCTCCCGACTGCCCGGCTGGATACACTGTCCATGTCATGCATAGAGCTGACACCATAGCGCCGCTCTCGCCTCTGAAGGCCGCTCCGAGTTCTACCAAACTTCTTCTCAGTATCCAGTGAGCTCTGGGTCTTTGTGGAGCAGGAATGTTTCTTCTTCCCCCCCCATGGCGCATGTCGAGAGTAGGAGTCTCTTCGTGCGAGCCTTGTTCCTGGGGTGGCACACGAGTCACTGTCCTTCTCGATGCTCATCTCAACAACCTGAGGGATCTCTGCGGCACAGTTCTGGTTTCGTCTTGAAAAGGTCTTTGAAGGGCTCAGTCCCAGCTGTAAGGCAACATTTTCTCTTAAGGGACTGCTCTGTTGCTGGGGAGCGGGCTCGCCCAGATGGATGCTTTTCTCGCTGACAGACAGACACCTGCTGGAGTTCATGTCCACAGTCTCGCTGCGGCTTCCTCCTTCATGGCTGAACAGAGCCTGGCACCTGTGTTTCAAGTTGTTCCACATCTTCCCCACTTTATCCATTGATTAGAAGAGCTAAAGAAACAAACAGAAAACAGAAAAACACGTTAATCTGAGAGGCCTGGGCAGCTGGAAAAGCGCTGTACTGGGAAACACAACTCAGCCCAGAACTGCCTTACAGGGCACCGACAGTGGCACGACACTCTGGGCAGCAGTGAGGTCTTCAGTGCCACCCAGGCCAAACCACACTTTCCATCTCCTTTCAGGGAGAAGTCAAGTTAACAGAAAGGAAATAAACTCTGCCAAACTATGCCTTCTTCATTTCTTAGCATTAATTAGGCATCTCCTGTTCATTTCTTATAGAGTGGGCTTCTGGATCAACGTTGTTCTTGCTCTAATGGCAGCACCAGCGTGGAAGGTGCTCTCAGAGGACTATGTTAAAGCCTGTGGGTGAGCCTGCAGGAGGCTCTCAGGAAAGCCAGTCGGCCGGGTGAGTTCACAATCCCAACACTGACACCCTGTGCTTTGACTGCCATCATCACTCCATCTTCTAGTTAAATTCAGGTTTCAGTGCCCAGCTCACAGGTCTAATTTCTGCCGCGTTCTTGGTGACTCTACTACCTTTTCCAACACCCCAGCCCTATGCTAGCTCTTTCTTTTCATTTCTTTAAGGATTTAAAAACTTTTACCCAATTCATAGTTTCAAGTTCAAATTCTATTAGAAAGCTTGTTTGGTTTGAGGTTCATTATGTAGCCTAGGCTAGCCCTGAATTTGTGGTAAGCCTGCCAAAGCCTTCTGAGTCCTAGGATTGGGGGAGTAGGCTGCCTCACCCTGCTCTGAAGGGAGTTTAAACTAAGAAACATCGCCATTAGCCACATGCTTCTATTCCTGCTGTCCATTCCCAGAAATTCAAAAATAAATAAATAAATTAATTAGCTGTTTCTGTAGATATTTTTCTGTTTCTACATGTCTGGATTATTACTAACTAGCCTTTTAGTACCAGAGATTATCTGGGGACTGTAATTTAAAGATGGTGGGCTTGACCTTTAGATTATGGTATCAATGGACATTTTCCTTTAACCTTCCTTCCACAAAAGAGCTAAAGTCCAGTCCCTAAGAGACATACATGGATCTAATCTACATGGGAAGTAGAAAAAGCCAAGATCTCCTGAGTAAATTGGGAGTATGGGGACCTCGGGGGAGGGTTGAAGAGGAGGGGAGAGGCAGGGAGGGGAGCAGAGAAAAATGTATAGCTCAATAAAATCAATAATGAAAAAAAAGAGCTAAAGCCCATTTTCTGGTTAAGTAAGTATTTATTGTTTTCACCATGAGAGCGGAATGTTGTCTAGAGGTAGATCATTTCCTTTCTTACACCAATGTTTCTTTTCCCTAGAGTAACTATCTCTCAGTTGCTCCAGCTTCCCGGTATCTACTAACTGCTCAGCAGACGTCAGCACCCTCAATGGAGGCCGACAGAGCGACAAGGCTCCAGCAGTTTCTTTTCCTTCTATCAGAAACCATCTGATTTCATTCTTGTTTTTCAGTCTTTCAGGACAAGATCCTGGCGTAGAAATAATCTATCCTGGCAAGTTTGGGGGCAACACCCCACTATTTTCCAGTTTCAAGTTCCTTATCTTCTCTATGTGACACGTGTTGACTTTCTGAAAATAAGACAGCCACTTCTCAGTGCAGAAGCGTCATGTTCACTATGCTAAGCCTTTCAATGCCCGTTGCCCTTCTCCTTCCCTTTTTAATAGAATATATTGAAATATACTTCCTTTTATACTTTCTGGCAGCTTTGGCTTCAGTTTCCAACTTCTGCAGTAGAAGTGCAGTCATCCTGAACAAATGTGGCCTGTGACCAGGAATTTGATCTAAAGATAATTTTAAAACATTTTAAATTTATTTTTATGTGCAATGTGAGTGTCTACATGTATGTCTGTGTACTTGCATGTGGCTGGTACCCACGGAGGCCAGAAGATGGTGTTTCTGAGACTGACGGAAGCCATCATGTGCCACATCGTTAGAAACTTTTGGGGGTTGGAGTAGACAGGTAAGACCTGAACCAAAACAAAAGCCCCAAAAGGAACTTTTCACAGAAATTATATGTAACATACATACAAAAATCAAAATTTTCTTTCTGGTCCTTTTCAGAAAGTTGATTGAGCCCTAGTTAGACTCTAAAGCTGTCAGATAACAATGAGGTACTATTCTAAACACAAGAGGAGTTGTCATATTCAGGAAACTCCAAAGTTGAGCATTTTTCTGTGTTTATAGATGTTGTTCCTTTCTAAGGGTATTTTCCTATCACGTAAATTATATAGGAAAGGTGACGATTTTACAAAGCAGCCAAACATAAACCTGCACATCTTTACAGGCAGCTGTTCACAAGTGTCACAGACAATTAGGACGTGCAGAACATATCTATGCTCACCAGGGCACACATGTATTGTCTGACAAAACTTTTCCTGGAGAGACCCACCATACACATCTACTGAACCCAGATAGGAACTGTTAACCACAGAACCGAAGTCCAACTTGGTAGCGTTACTGGGGTTACTTACAGGAGCAGGAGTGACTCAGAGACAGCAGCATGTATCCTGCGGCCAGGAGTCAAGGAATACCAGAGTCACACTGCACAACAAACTACACAACAGGACTTATTAGGAAAGACACAGAGGGTGGTTGCCTCGGCTCTGGTGAGACGCTGCAGAGAACTGAGTAGGAGGAAGGCTTATGGCATGGGGTTTTCTAGGGTGGAAATTTCTGGGGTAAGGATTGGTAGGGACTGGTGCATTTTCAAAACCAGGAACTGAGCTCACTTTTTACCCTATAGGCAAGGGGCTACTTAGAAGGCGCAGAAATAGCTCAAAGACAGCTGCATCATCAAAGCCCAACCTAGCATGGTGACAGCTCATAAAGCTGGGAACCCGGAATACACTGCACAGCCTGCAGGCAGCCCAACAGGCCAGAGAGTGTTCTTTCTAGGTGCCTCGGCTGGTCTAAACCGCTTCCAGGCAGCTGGTCTGATCTCAGCTTTCACTGCAGCTCGCTCGTCTACTAAGTCTTCTCTGCAGCTTGACTCTAATCATCTGGGGGCAGGGAGTCAGTTTTTACTGCTTACTCTGGCAAGGCAGGGTCCAAGAAATCTGGTCAGTTTCAGGGACTTCCTAAAGCTATTCTGAGTTATCCACCTTCCTGCTTAAGGAGATTCCTACAGGATGGGATGTTTTAACCTCGGAGGAAACTGTTAAGACAATATTCCATCCCTTCCTCCTGTTCTTACATTCGTTCTGCGCCCCCCCACCCCCACCCCGGCAGATGATCCCTGAGTTTTGGAGAATGACTACAAATGTCCTCCTGTGGCTAAGAAATAGGCCACCATGTCAAAGTAACAGTCTCTTGCTCTCCGGAGCATCACCAGTTGAATACAAACGCGCTTAGAAGACAGCTTAGACAGTTTGGCAGGCACATCATACTGATCTAGAAAAACCACAGAAGTTGCTTCCCCACTGGGATCTATGACTCTCCAGGCAGTTTTTTGTTCTGGCTTACAGTACCAGGCTTGAACTCCCACGTGTGGAGCAGGCAGGTGTTCTTACCCACGCTAGCCGGGCCACTATGATACAAGCAGGACGCTGACGGGTCCACAGCCAAGCAGGGATATTTGTGACAGTTCTCCACCAGCGGCCTGCATGGCCCTTCTGGTACTGTGAAAGACAGTCAGTAGGGTGGGAGTCTCCAGTTCAGTCCTTCATGTCCTACAGTGGAAGAGTGCTCATGTGGCATCTTCAGCAATAAGAGCTTATTGCTTACTGCCAATAGCAGTAGCTTTGAAGGTTTGTGGAGCAACAGGGGCTGCCCTGGTCAACAACCTGGGGTTTCCACTGAATAATCTTATGATCTCTGGGAGTGTCCTTTTCCATCCATGTAGCATATCTTTTGGATTTTTTTCTCCTTTTGATTAACCCAGGCCCAGCAGGGTTGTAAGGTGCAGAAGTACCAGTGCACCTGGGTGTCTCTCAAACCACTCAGAGATTAGCATTACAATATCTCCATAGCAATGTCTTTTCCAGAGGATATGCAGGACAAGGCAACATCCTAAACCACCATCCCATAACAAATGGTGGAGTTATACAGATAACCTTGGTGACACGGCTGAAAGTCTGCTGTCACCTGTTCTCAGCAAGTGACAGGTGACCCCAGAAGTGCACAACTAAGAAGGTACTAAAGTTAAAAATAAGCAACATGGCAAGGCTCCATCCATCTGTATCACTGCTTCCTCCACAGATCAAGGTTGGGTACAAAGTATGGACAGGCAGAGCTAACTTAGTTCCCTGCAATCCTTACTCCTCTCCAAACCCTTGTGTTTCCCTATCTTGGAGTCCTTCCAAGGAGCCTCCCTGTACCTAAGGAACTCAGGCCAAAGGGGAATGTGGTCTTTCTTTCGCCTATTGCCCCTGCTGGCTCCAGGGCAGGCAGGCTCTGGTTTGTGGATATAGCTGTAGCTTTTGCCTCCTTGTTCACCACACAAGGCTGTTGGAAGAGTTTCCAACTGGGCAAATCATGTCCACCCCTAGCATAACTTTTTTTTCTGGAGGGAAACATACCCTCCTCAGTCTGGGGAAATAACTATCTACCCTGGGACATTGATTATTTTCACCTGTATTGTTCTATCATGGACGTCTTCTCGGGCTTTAAGGCCTTCCAGAAGCCCCTGAGCACACAATTTGACTTTCTATCAAATTATTCCTTAGGAACACTGGCTGGACACAAATCTTGTTACATTTGTCTTTAAGGAACCCTGGCAGACCTCCTCCTATATGTTTTATCATTTTCTTTTCTGTTTCTTTCTTTTTGGTTTTTCAAGATAGGGTTTCTTTGTGTAGCTTTGGAGCTTGTCCTGGCATCGAACTCACAGAAATCAGCCTGCCTCTGCCTTCCCAAGTGCTGGGATTAAAGGCGTGCACCACCACCGCCTAGGTTGTTTTCTTAATCAATGAACACTTTTTACATACTGGTTTAAGTTACTGACAGCTTAAAATCGTTTCTATTTTATAAAGATCTTGATCCA